AACCGAGTCTTCCCCAATTTCCAAGGACACAATCTTATTTCTATTCCTCCATCTAGCAACGATTTAAAGAAGTAAGAAGTGTTAGCATCCCTTCCCGTAACCATTTAACCCTAGACTTTTGCTTGGCTAGTGATTCTTCGGCTTTTGAAATCTTGACCATCTTTTCCACCTTACCTTTCCTCTTGCAAAAGAGCATCATCAACCGGATCCACAACAAGCCTTTCTTGGACTTGGGCTAGATCATCTCTTGCAAATTTTACTCTTTCCGAAATGTTCCAGAACTCCTTTCTATTTAGTCTCTTAAGCTCAACTTCAACGCTTTTAAGAGACCAGTGTACTGGGGTACCTCCACCTCTACACTCCACACTCTCTCCATAGGTAAAAAGTCCTCATGCTGCCCAAAAGTTGAAAAACTTGAAAGGGGATTTCTTACCTTGAAAGTTCAGTCCACTATCAACCGCATTGGACAATGGTCTGATATGCCCGGAGTAAGGAAGGATGCAAAAGAGTTGGGAAACTGCTGCTCCAAAGCATTACAACATCACCCGATCAGTTTGCACCAAATCTCCTATTGAGCTCTCCTCTGTTATTCCAAGTGAAGATGACCCAATGACATTAAGATATCAATACAACTTCCTTACACGTCAGTAAACTCTTCACATTGCGAATTCCATTGATTAGAACCTCCCTTCTTTTCCCCCGCAAATCTAACCGCATTAAAGTCGCCATAAAACCCATGGCTCACGATGGCTAACATTGGCATGGTGGATAAGCTCCTTCCATAGCTCTTCTTTCCCCTACACTGTTCACCCATAGACAATAGAACAAAAGAGCATGGAATTATCTTTCAAAATTCTAACCTTACAAGAATTGCTTGAGCTAAAGTTGGATAACCTGCACATGCAAAATATCTCCATCCCAACCTCCCCCAAATTCTCCCCTTTCACAAAAACAATAGTTCTCAACCATAGCCCAATTGCGAAACACCATTTTCCTAACAACATCCATATTATTCTCCCTAACCTAGTCTCCAAAACAGACATAACTTAATTATTGCTATAATAAGATTCCTTACCTCTTTTTGTTTTATGGGGGAATTAAGCCCCTAACATTCCACGCGACAACTTTAACCATGGCTATGAGGTAGCTTTAGTGGAGTTCTCGCCTTCTTCGCTAGTTTCTTCCGTTTATTCTTAGAAGGCTTCCCTTTTCTTTTAATCTTCCTTTTCATCCACGCGTACAGGTTCCAAACGGTTGATAAATGGAGAGCTAGTTTCCATGTCACTGCCTCAAATGTATTCAAGAAAACAACATTGGTAGTTGGAGTTCTCTCCTCTCTATCCTATGGCATTTGCAGCTTTCCTCCCCCAAAACCGCTCTACACCAACTTGTTCACTTTCCAGCCTTCCTCAATACCATTCCCGCTCTTCCTCTCTCCATCGGCAAACATCTTCTTTTCCTCACCCTCTTTGGATAGCACCACAAATTGGTTCATACTTTCACAAGGTTTAGGGGCCTTACCTTCCTTCTTTCCCTCAACCCTTTGCTGACCACTTCTCGAGCGACACTTATATTCTTCTTGCTAGCAACTTGTCTCCATTCTTGACAATGAGGAGAAGTTGGCTTTTGGGTAACAACGGTCCGGTTTCCTTAGGACCAATGATAGTTTCTTTGCAAATGCCCGAACGTTTTGCACCAAGCACAGGTAAATGGCTTCCATGCATACTCCACCTTAACTAATGCAATCTCACACACTTGGCATCTCAGCTCAATTCCTCCTTAAACTTTGCCAAAGAACCATCTCAAAGCACACTTTAGCAAACTCAAGCTTTCGCCTGACTCCGTAATATTGTCATATAAAGAGGGGGTGTCTATTACACTTGCTATAGACTTAAGCCCTTGGGGGTCCATAATTCAAGTGGGATACCGTAGAATTTCGCCCATATGGGTACCCTAGTAATCATTCATGCCCAGTGACAAATTCGGAGTCCATAACTTCAAAAGAAAGGTGCCCTCCTATGAACCATGGACCACCCTCTAGCACATCCATTTTAGTAACCTCATCTGGGAACTTGAGCAAATAGCCCCCATGCCCATATGAAGTGGACCCCACAGCTCCAAAACGACTCCAATTTCTATCAACATAGCTCCTTACTTGGTTAAATGGCAATTTCTTCCAAGGAAAAACCCGACTAGACAATGACTCCATTTGTCTATTCCTAAAGCCGCAATTTCAGTAGGGATTGAAATTCTAAACTTAGCACCTTCCTTGCTCATATTTGGTTTGACATATTCAAGGGAAATATCAGATCTCTTTGAGACAAGAACACTTGTCCAAGCTCTTTTTTCTCCCTTTCACCTGTTTTTGATCACCACAACCATTTGGCTTCTCATTCTATTCACTCCATCCACCACTTTGCTTAGGAGAGGGGGGTAATCCTTAGAAATCTTCATCGACCTTCGCTGTCACATTTTCATAAAATCTCCCCTTTGTCAGAGCAGCTCACTAGTGCGGATTGAACTCACCTTTAGCCAATGGCACATCATTCCGGCCTGATTTTTCTATAACAATATGTGGCCTTACAACCTCACGACCCTTATCCACAACATGACAGATTGTGTCTTGCCCATTTTCAGCTACCTAGAAGAAACACGGGTACCCTCCAAAGCACTCTTGGATTCAGCACGAACAGTCATTTATCCACCCAAATGATTTCTCCTTTCTCAAATTCAGAATTCCCTCCATTAATAGGTTTCACCAACCGGACTTGGACAAACTCTCTATTAGAAATGGTGGCCCCTTTCAAGACTCCAGTAGGTACCAAAGCACCATTCCTAACACTTTCAATTTTCTTTTCCTCAATGTTTGGATGCTGCTCACTCACAACCAAAGGTTCTCCCACGTTCAACAGCCCCATGGGAGGCAAGGAAGAGAGGAAGCAAGAAAAAAATGAAATTTTTTTTTTTTTTTTCTCACCTGATGATGTGTCACCTGGGTGACGTGGCACACGTGGAGGGATGAGAGATGACAAGGCAGTGAGGTGGCATGACAAGGTAGGAGGAAGATGTGGGATTTGTGTAGATAAGGGATAAAGGCAATCACAATAACCAATAGGAAAAATGAGGTGAAAAGGAAAATCATATGGAACTTGCTATTAACCAGTCCAAAGGAAATGGATAAAGCAAAATCCACCAAGCCAATAGAAGAAAAGGAATCTTAGCCAAAGATAAAAGGGGAAAGAATTCAAACAAACAACCACACTCACATTCTTGAAAAGGAAACCAAGACCAGCCACACCAGAAAAGCTCCAGCCAACAAGAAGAACCAAACTCCGACAGCACAGCTACAAGCTCCGAACAACAAGAAAAACCAAACTCCGGAGCACAACTACAAGCTCCGATGACAAGCACAACCAGCCCAAAGCACACCAGCAAACAACAACACGCAAGGCGTCCAACTCTCCTAAACAAAACCAAAAGGCTTCAGCTCAGCAGGATGAAACTCAGGCCAAGCAAGCCCAACTCCGGCCAACAACACTCCCAACACCAACCTACACCACAAAATCGCACCCAAACCAACAAGACTTTCACCACTCCAAAACACACCCACTCATAACAACAACCTCTCACCACTCAATCAACAACAAAATTGACCAGAAAAGTTCAGAAGAAAAACCCAAAAAAAAAAAAAAAAGACGAAAAAGATGGAGGATGGCTGGTTAGATGAGAAGGAGGTGTTTATTGGTAAAGGTGGAGGATGGATGATGAAGGTGGAGTGGAGTGAGGAGTGGTGGGTGGGGGGGAAAAAGGATAGAAGGTGGGCTGTTTCACTAATCCTAGAGAGAAGAGAGAGCATTTTCTCTCACTAACCTTGCTTTTTTTGCTGCTGCTTATTCTGTTCTAGTTTAGTTGTTTGCTTTCTTGGCCTCTGCTATCTTCTCCTTTGCTTGTTGGTGGTTGTTGTGGTTGAGCTAGTTTGTGTGGGCTGTTTCTTGGCTTGGCGGGATTGGGAAGAAGGTGGGTGGCTGGAGTTTTGCTGGTTGCTGGAGTTGTTTTGTTTATTTTCGTTTTTTTGGAGTGTTGTTTGGTGTTGAAGTGAAGTAGGAGTAAAAGGGCTGTTTGTGGTTCTGTTTTGACCGGAAGTGTAGAGTGCGTTGGTGTTGAAGTGAGGTAGGAGTAAAGGGCCTGTTGCTGCCGGATTCTTGCTGGTCACCGGAGTGTGGGTGCTTCTTTGGCCGGAGCTTTGCTGTTTTGGCTGGAGTTGTCTACCATTTTTTTCACTAGTTATCTTTTAACAAGGTGTATGTGATATTGTTGAAAATGAGATTTAGATATTTTAATAATTGCGCAGATGGACTTTTAATGCATCTCCTAAGTGTGTTTGCAATAGTTTTCCAGAATAATTGAATTTCTGATCTTATTTTTTACGGAATTATGTAAGGTACTTCAAGATCAAGAATGCCAAAACACTCTATTACACTGTTCTTTTTTTTTTTTTTTTTTTTTTTTTTTTGGGTAAATAGAGGGTAGTTAAAAGAACACAAATGTGATAGCTGGCTATGTAGAGACTCGAACATAAGATTTCTGGTTAACCCAAACAGATGGTTAAGGTCTTGCCATCCAACCGCAAGCCCAATAACTTTTACACTGTTTATCACTCTCTCATTCTCATTGTGTTTGTACAAAAGACAAAAAAATAAGAAATAAATGATTACTTTCATATTCATTGTATTTTTCTTTTTGTACATCTGTCAAAATAGAGAGTTAGAAGAGTGTTTTTAGCATTTTTCAAGATACTTTATCAATCAGCATTTGTTCTTGTTTCTCTAGGAAATCAAAATATCTGATGTTTCTTAGAAGTTATGGATCAATTGGTGAACATATGATGATTTTGCTTTCACCATTTTATTTCAAACTTATATAATGTCTACTTATGATAATTTGGCTTTCATCTTTTCAGTGCAAATTTTGTATAATATCTGATTTTGGCATGGTTGCAGGCATTGGATACTTTCAACACAGCAGTTGTTTCTCCTATATATTACGCTATGTTCACATCTTTTACAATATTCGCCAGTGCAATAATGTTTAAGGTAAAGCTCAGTCATCGCATACACTGCCATAGATACGCATATTCAGGCAAGTCTTATGTATCATAATGTCTCTAATTGTCTGTCTGGCTGCTCTAGGATTATTCTGGTCAAAGTGCAAGTAGCATAGCATCAGAGCTTTGTGGGTTTATCACTGTGTTATCGGGAACTACTGTATTGCATAGCACAAGAGAGCCAGATCCACCTTTTATTACAGGTACATGTCTCATGCATATCAGTGGGCAAACCTTTGATGTCTGTTGTAAATATATAATTTAGCAACCTGAGCACATTATATTTAAGTAATGCCTGATACATATGCCATCTGTATATACTGTTTCTAAAAGCTTAAATATAAATGTAATGAAATTCTGGATGTACTAGTGGAAGTATAATTGAACTACATGGAAGAAAAAATTGTAGTACGTAAACGGTGAATGTTTCTACAGGTAAAATTAGCATACAAAAGAAGTGTTTTTAATTTAAGAATTTGCTGCTTTTGCAGATATGGCAAAGCTGTTTACTCATGAACACTCTAATTTTCTTTCCCTTTATTTTGGTTTGATTTTCAGATAAGAATCATTAAAGAAAGAAAAAGAATAATGATAGTTGAAACATAAAATAATAAATTAAGAGGAAGAATAATGGAAAAAAGAGAAGATGAAGAGATGAAATTTTAAGAAAATGAAAAGTCGGTCTTTCATGACCTACTACTCTTTATATATATGTACATATTTATAAACTTTGATGGACAGTAAAAATTATAAAATATAGCATGCTCATTTGACCCAAAAAACCCAAACCCATAAACTATAAAAGTCATTGATAATAAATGAGAATTTGAAAAAAGTTAACTAGTAGTCCATCAATTAAAAAAAAAAAAAAAGTGTTTATGGGAGCAAGGGTGGTTATTCAGTATTAGATCTGTGTTAGAAAAGTCAAGTTGGGAGGAGGAATTCATAGTATAAAAGATTTCAATTTTTCTTTTTCTCACCAGAAAAAAAATTAATGGATCTGGTTCTGCATGAAGCTTATTTTATGTGGAACTGAGGATATAATGTGAAACATAGACTGGATAGATATTCAAACTGAAGCTAATTTGCCTTGTTTTAGCAGGATATATTGGAATAGTTGTTTCTGATCATTGCCCAATAAGATTAGATTTCAACTCTGAGATGGTGTCCTTTTCCTTGAAAATTGACCCTGAAGAAGCCTATGACCATGTATATTGAAATTACTTGGACTTTGTCTTGGAAGCTGAAGGTTTCTGGTAATAAATCGAGAAGGTGTATTAGAAAATACTTGTGTCTGTGGATATTTCTCGATTTTATAATGGCTTTCGTAATATAATTTGGGGCTTCAAGGTTATTTAAAAGACTTGACACGTTATCTTGGTCAATACTTGGTTATAAAAATATGGTTGATAGGGATCGAATTATGGTGCCTCATTTCAATGTTTTGATGATACTTTATTCTTTTCTTTTGGGAAGGACTTTACTGTGTCTAGTTTCTTTGATTGTTGGACTATTTAGATTGGTTTTGGGCCTCTTTAAGTTGTCAAAGAGTGTAATTGTTGGTGTTAATTTGCAAGATCAGGAAGCTGTTTCTTTGGCAAAAAGATTGGGTTGTAGTGTTGGTGAGTGGCTGTTGCATAAAGTGGTTCATCTGAAAAATGGATCAGGATGCAGTGTTAGTGAGTGGATGTAAACTACTGGAGTCTTCTTTTCGTAGATAACCCTGGAAGGGTAAGCTATGGAACCCCATTCTCAAAAAATTGAAGAAAAAGATTGCATAGCTGGAATGTAGAGCATTTTTATATAAAATAGGCTTTCAGTTTATTCGGTGATTTTAGTCTTATTTATTTCTTATCATTTTTTTTTTTTGAATAATTTATTATTTAATAATATCATCATCGTTATATTGCAGCTTATAGAATTAAACAATTTTCTAAGTGATTTCTTGTGGGATGGGACTATGGAGTTGAAGGAAAATAACTGCAGTTGGAAAAATGTTTCTTGGTCTTGGGGAGTAGGAATGGCAAAAAAACCCACCAGGTTGTTTCAACTTAGTTTGGGTGGGTATTTATGACCACATTTTATTTTCTATAACATTTTTTTTTAATAAATCATAATTTTGATATACATATGATTTACATGCATTTATTGAATATTATTAAAAACCTTTTATTATTATATATTAGAATAAATGCATTTTCATTTATACTAAAAGTCTTCAAAAACTTTTATTAAAACAATGTGATGAGTTACTCCTCACCCCGACAAACACACCAACCTAACCCACCTCTGAAATTTCAAGTGATGGTTTGGGGTTTAATGCATTCAAATCAAACACTTTGCTATCCCTCCATAGTGAAGAGAAGTATGGCTTTGTTGGGTAATGCCATTGGAGATTTCTGTTGGAACACAATTCTCTTTGGTCTGGGTTTATTAAAAGTACAATGTCTTCTTGGTAATGGGTGTGATTGTAGGGACGGCTAATACATGTCGAGGTCCTCAAAAAGCTATAGTTCTTTGTTTTTCTCTCATTTTGAGTTATGCTGTTGGGAATGACCAGAAAATTTTTTTTGGGAGGATTTATTTGTTAGTTAATTCTCTGCTTTGTATGTGTTTCCTTGCTTACACATTATTGGCTTCTCAATGAGTTTCTAACAAAAGTTCTTTGTTTTATGTTTACCTTGTATAGTGTGGAATTTTAATTTATAAGGACTTTTGAGTGGTTTGTATTGATGATGGTCTTCTCTTTTTTGTGTTGCTTGACAATTTTACCTTGAAATTTTTGAAGAAGGATCCTAGAGTTTGGAGGCTTGATTCAAGCTGTTTTGTAGTATAAAACATTTTTTTTATTGGCTTATCGTTGATTCACCACTGTATCACTTTCAACTGGCTTCAATGATGTGAGCGGCTAAAGTTGTGCCTGAAGTTCAATTTTTTATTTTTACTTTTTGTGTTTACTCCATGGGGGGATTAATAATTGTGATGTTTTTCAAAGACAATGGCCCAAGGTTTGATTATCCCTTGATTGATGTTTTATGTGTAAAACAAGGCTGAGAGTATTTGATCATTTGTTCCTTCAGTGCCCAATCGTTTTATATTTTTTGTTTAAGCTATATAACGAAGGTAGATTTTCTTTAGGTTTTTCAAACACTAAATTCTCGTGTCTTTGTTGAGGACCATTGAGCTTTTTATAGTATATATAAATAGAACTATCACTTCTGTTGTTGAAATCCTACTGAGATTGCTGTTTTTGATACTGGTCTTGATGAAAGAATGGGAAAAGGAGACTCAACATATAATAGCTCAAACATTTATTTGATAATCCTGAACATGCAGATCTTTATACTCCATTATCTCCGAAAGTATCATGGTACATCCAAGGCAATGGGGAAGTCTGTAAGCAGAAGGATGAAGATGGGTCACCTCCTAGTTTTGTCACAATTCTCCGGCAAGACTATTTCAAGTAAAAGAAATATGCATGGGACATGAAAATTTTGTGCTTGGGCCCATCAAAATACAGCTGGAGAATTCTTATATGATTGTGCAGGCGGAATATGTGGTAATATTTTGTCCACAAATTTTCTTATCCTTCTTCCTTTTCATCATCGTGTCAGATCAAATTATCTGAGTCATTTGGTGCAAAGTCGTGTAGCTATAGGGAGTTATTTGTTCAGCTTATTAATTTTCATTTTATTTTTTAACACCTCTTGACACTCCATTTTTGCGACTTGTAGCTACATCTTATTTCTTTGTAGAAACAAAGTGCGGGCTTGGAATACACTAATCCATGTAGGTCAGTGTTTGTAATATCATTTTTTGCATCTCATCTGGAAGAAATTGGTAAAATACTGTATCTTTTTGGTAAATTCGGTATTGATTGATAAGATCTCTGTTAGGGTGAGACTGGTTCCCAGAAATGAAGAAAGTTGTCCAACTGTGACTTGTCTGTTATCAGGCTATTTCTTTCTCAACGGGGCATGTCCTATATTAGAATCATATTATGATACGAATTCAGTACGTTATAATTGTGAGAGTTGTAATATTGCAATTCCTATTAATTTTTTTTATTTTTTTGTTACTTTCATAGCATATACTACCAGAGCTCGTTGTTCCAAAAAGTTGTAGGAATTTATATCTTGGTAGTATGGTTGCTCGTGGTGATATGCATTAGAATGGTAAAATGTTTTGTAATCTTTGAACATTTTCCAGTATTATACTTTTTTTTTTTTTAATTTTATCTCCATTGTCCATAAACAGAATTGTTATTTCTCTCTTTCATAATTATTTATTATATATTTTTTTACCAAAATAAAGTTATAAAACAAATTTCTTTTATGTAAATATTTGTGGCTCAAAAGGTGCTAACTACGGTGTCATGTTTGGTTTGTGAATTAGAAATGTTTGGAATTTTCGTATTATGAATGAATTGAATAGGATTGCATTGTTTGGTTGTGAAAAATTTGGATGGAATGAAAAAAACAAATTGTTTTTTTGATGAAAATACCCTCAGTTTATATACATATAATTGGAAAAATTTGAAAAATCTTCAAACCAGTCAACGTCGGACAACAGAATTCTTTTGTGCCAATGGCGTCACCGCTAGTGCGTGCAATATCATCGATTGGTGATCTATTAATCTGGGCAAATCTTGGTCGTCGAACAACTGCGGTATGATGACATGCGATGGTCCTGGCCAAGAACCATCACATGTGATGTCACTGTGTCAATTTAAGTGGTTGGAATCGATCTAGATTGACGGGCTCTAATTTCTCACGAGTTGGTGGTGACGTGAGAATAGTGATAGAATGTTGCCTTCTCACGCGTTGGTGGTGACGTGAGAATAGTGATAGAATGTCGTTAAGCAACGACTTTGATCGGTTTGAAAAATTTTAATTAATTTTTTTAAAATTTTATTAAAAAAATTTGGTATAAAGTAATTAATATTTTGATAAAACAATTATTAACTATAAAATGATTTAAAATTAAATAAATTGATTTACTTCAACTCTAAAACAAAATAATAAAGATTAAATCACAATCTAATCTCATAAATTCGCTCTCACAATCTTGACGCAACAGTTCACAATCAGTCAGACAAAAAAATTCATTAGAAACCAATTACAAACTATGTCGTTGGAGTGAAAGTTTGTGAGATTGAGTTATAAGTATAAAATTGCCAAAAACAATAATATTTAAAATAAAGGAAACAAAACTAAATACAAAATAATATAAAATATAAAAAATTTATACAAACTCAAACAAAGCTGTAAAATACCAAAGATATAAAAACTAGAATAACCAAATTGTTATATAATACTTACAAATCTGAAGGGCTAGGAAAGGGGGGTGGAAAGCCACGAATAAGACATGTTTGCATAATCCAAATATAAAAATAACACTTTTCAAACTTACAAAATCATAACAAGGAAACATGAATAAAAAAATTTAACAAATGATAATAATAAAAAAAAACCTAAACAATCTAAAAAAGTAAAAAGTAAAACAATATAGAAATTAAAAACTTCAAAAAAAAAATTAGAAAATAATAAAAAAATCTAGAAACTTGAAAATTAATCTAATATAGAAATTAAACAACTTTAAAAAAAAAAATTAATTTTTTTGTAATTTGGCCAACAACCAACTATGACCAGTGTCTGACCTAGATCTGGCCGAAGTTGGACAAATCGAGCTTGACCTGATTAGTATTGGCCTTGATCGGATATATATCAACTTGGATCTAGTCGACGTTAGGAAAAATCTGGTATGACGTCGCCCAATATAGGCTAGGCCAAGCTAGCTGTGCTAGGTAGGGGTGTTCAAAACCAGTTAAGCAGTCCAAATCTTTTTTTTTTTTTTTTTTTTTTTAACCGAATCAAATCGAATTTCTGGTTCAGGGAAATTCCTAAACCGAAACCGAACCGATTCTAGAGGCAAACAAGTTATAAACCAATTTGGAAAACCAGTTAACCGGCTTTGCCAAAAAAAAAAAAATTGCAAAGAAATACAGTTTTGCCAGAAAAATCTGGTAGGAAGTGAAGTGAACACTGCGTCGAAGCCCACAATTTGTGTTCCCCTATTCATTCTTTTCCACTGCTTTCCTTTTCCATTCACATTCCCATCCACAAAGTATTCCTTGATTCATTCCTTTCAATTCCCACTCCCATAGCCCATTACTATCCACCCAGTAAACACCACATTCCCAATTTCCCATTTACGAAGTGGCTATAGAGTCGAACTTCAGTGATAACGATGTGCTTGCAATATTATTGGATTGGAATGGGTAAAATTTGTTGTCTAAAAAAATTAAAGGAATTGGTTTTTGTATAGTTTATATTTGATGGAAGAAATTGAGATATTCAGTTTGGGGTTAGAGGAGATGTGTGGAAGGTTGTTCTAAGATAGAGTGGAGTGAAAATGTGAGTGGTAAGTTGGCAAGGCTGCCCCCTCAGTGCAAATTTGATGATTCTTCTTTTTTTTTTTTTGGTTGGTGGAGATGAGACGGTGTAGTTTAGGCCATTGTGTATTGTTGTTCATTGGCTATTTTAGTAAACTGTAAACTTTTTTCTTTTTCTTTTTTTCATGTGAAGTATATATAACATCACTTTATAACATTTTACGATTAATGAAGTTTTGACACACCAATAATCATCTAATAAGATTTAAAGTTGGGATCTTAATTTTTTATAATTAGTTTTATTGAAAATATGATTAGGTGCAAAAGAATTAAGTTTGAAAATTGTTATTATGACAGTAGTAACAACTTTGAATTTCTCATACCAGAAAAATAAAACCAAATCCTTGATAGTTCAAAAACTGTCAAGGATTTAGTTAAAATTAAGCTAAATCAAACTATTAAGATATTATTGACGGTTTATAAACTATCAAGACTCTTTTTTGACAGGAGCTTCCTTGATAGTTCAAAAACTGTCAAGGAACCCCAGTTTGACCGTTAATAACTGTCAAGAATCAAGGTTTTCTTGTAATGGCCCCTCGTATTTGTACATCTTTATAGTTTCCTTTTATACATTTTACCTTTTCCAAAAAAAAAAAAAAAAAAAAAAAGTTACTCGCTCATCAGCGTTGACAATCCTTTTGTCCTTCATACTTGCTTCCTATTCTTGGTTGTCCTCATGGTTAGGCTCAATTTGGAATGCTCAAGTAAGAGGCTTTCTGAGAATGAATTATGTAATCATCCCATGCCTTTAGCCTCCCTTATAGTGAAGCAGAAAGAGTTAATGTTTTTGGAGAATAATTCTCTTTGGAGAGTAGGAATTTGAGAATGAATAGTTTAGGATCTAATTCCTTCTTGGAATAGATCTCATATAAATTCAATTCCCTATTTTACTTAAAATTCCTTATTTCCTCCGTGATTCTTCTTTTAACTTGGATTCTCCTTCTTTAAAAAATGGTGTCTAATAAACTCAATAAAAGCCAAATGGCTCAAAAGTATCTAGAGAATTATACAAATTACAATTAAAAAGTCAATTGGATCAAAGGTTTTTTGGGTAGTTAAGCAAATAAGGAGGGGTTTTTAGGTAATTTTTGGGCTCAAGAGTTAGGCCTTGCCACTCTTTTTTTTTATTTTATTTTGATGTTCATGAGTTAAGCGGATGGAAGAGTAAAGATTTCAATTGGGTTTGTCCAATTTAATAAAGGTTAATTAAATTATATTATTTATATATAGACTAATTTTACAAAATATTTAAATTCGATCAATCATCAGTAATTAAAGTAAATTTAATCTGATTTTTACAAAAAAATTGAGTTTCACTGTACAACAAATTAAATAACCCAATGGTAATTTTGTATTTTGCATCATTTCGATTGCTAAAACTATACAATCACTATTATTAATATTAAAGAAAAGAAAACACTTTTACCAATGCCTACATGACGTCACATCACTTCTAGGGATATTTTAGACATTATATATCATTTACTTCATCAATATAAATCATAAGGACATTCAAGTCATTTTCTTCCATAGAGTCAACTTGGGGTCATGGGTAGGGGTGCTTAAAGGGTCGAGCCGCTCACGAGCCGGCTCAAGTCTGGCTCGTTAACGGCTCGACTCGGTTCGTGAGCCAGAACGAGCCGAGTTCAAGCTATGCCTGACTCGGCTTGTTAGGCTCACGAGCCAAGCCTGGCTAAAAAAAAATTGATTTTTTTCTAAAAAAAGTTGAATTTTTTAGAGTCGGCTAGCGAGCCGGCTCGATATATCCTAAACTCTTTCGCGAGTCGAGCCGAGCCGTAGATTTCATGGCTCAGCTCGATTAATCTTCTTCTCTCACGAGCCGAGCTCGTTAAGCCGAAAACTCGTCTCGGCTTGGCTCGGCTCGTTAACACCCCTAGTCATGGGGTTAAAACTTAAAATGTTGTACTTTACGAAAATCATAGGGGCGTTCAAGTTAGCTCATCTCTCAGGAATGGATAATAATAACCAAACCAATAAGCTATATATAACATCTAGCAACATAATATTTATAAATTATAAACGTAATAAAATATGATAACAAGATTGTATTTAAAATTTCTATAAATATATTTGATATTTAAAAATATTAAATCTGATATATCAAAAAAATTCTTAAATATATTTGATAATTGATGATAGTAAATTAATATATGTAAAGTAGGATTTGAAATTTTAAACTTAAAATTTATAATTCTCAAAATATTTCAAACTTAATATATTTATCTATAATACATGAGATCAGGTTGGCAATATGATAAAATAGATAGCGGGTACTGTCTCCAACTTTTATTTCAAATTTTTTATTTATCTTTTTATTAAAAATTAAGTTTTGTGAAAAGATTTAGCAAAATTTAATAGTATTGTAAATTAATTTTTTTTTTTAAATTTATATATTTTTAGAGGTAAAAATTGATATTCTTTTATAAAAAAACTCAAATATATATTTGTCAAAATTTTAATACGCTAAATTCAATAATTTTACCTAGTTTACTTATGTTGGGTAAATTCTAAATAATTAATGTATGTAACTTGGTGGTAAAATATATTGGATTTCATTGCCAGGTTAGGGGTTTTTTTTTTTTTTTTTTCCTTACAAA